TCTCTCTGGCTCTGCTTTCCCCATTTGTAAAATGGGAATATATCTCTACTGACTGAGGCCTACTTTTTCAAACTTGAGTGACTGCAGCTAATTGTCTGAATCCATGTGTAGACATGTAAAGTAGTGGCCAGATTTTCAGAGGTTCTGGGCACCCACCAGTGCTGAAGTCCTGATCTCTGATACCACTTAAATCAATGGGACCTGCAGGCTCAGCTCCTCTATAAAGAAGGGAGCATTCCTACTGTACTAACCTTCCACATAAGGCAACTGTGAAATTCAATTAGTATGTGTAAACCGTATTGAGAGCATTGGATGAAATTCACTGTACGTGTTTCAAGTACCCTTGATTCTTGGTCTGAAATTGTTTCCTTGTGTTTGATTTTCTTTCCCCAGAGGCAAATGACCGTAGCTGTTTTCATCTGTGTTTGACACTGCCTCCCCCGCCTTTTGTGTCTAGCTTTGTTTCTTTCTTCTCTTCATTTTGAATTGCTCAAAGATTGTACCAGATTGTTGTGGCAGACACATACATCAAAAGGCAGTGCACTCCAGTGGGTAGGGCATGGAAGAGATCTGTGAGCTTGCATTATCACGGACCTCCTGCATGACCATAAGTTTGCAGCCAAAACTCAGAGAAAAAAAATTGAACTGGGAATCACTGATGCTATTTCAAACATTATGACATAGTGTCAGCTACTGACATGGTATCAGATCAGTAAGACAGACAAGAATCTCAGGGTGATATCCTCATCCCATTGAAATCAATGGCAAAATTGCCACTGCCTTCAACAGCACAAGGATTTTATCCTCAGTATATTGATGCAGATGCTTCATTGCTTCTGGATAATCAGATCACTGCAGCCACCACCCTTTTTCCATACTTCGCTTGCAATAAAACTTTTCCCCTCCTGTCAGATTTGGATTTAGCCACAATAATCCATGCATTTTTAACTTTTAACAGTCATGTATCTGTGTCTGAAGCCACTGGCAAAACAAAAATTGGATTAGAACTCGGCAGCCCGCTTGCTCAGCACACAGGTCACTCAAAACATTTCACACCCAATGCTCTGCTCTTTCCTCTGGCTGTTGTACACTGGCTCAGTTTAAAGATTTCAGTCTTCATCTTAAAAACTCTCCATGGAACTGGCCCTGGTTACTTGAGGGACTGTCTCAGCCTACAAGGTCATGACTTCCTGCAGCAGCTACACTGAGTTGGAACCATGCAGCTGTCAAGTTCAGGAGTGAAACAGGCGTGTGCGTGTGGGAGGTAGAGGTTTCTTGTCAATAGGCCTACTAATTTGGCACTCGCTTCTGGAAGAGATCAGGGTGACTGCAACCCTCAGTCCTCCGATCAAAATGGAAAACCCATGCTGTGACCAGGTGAACTCCAACAAACTAACAAACATGACAAAAATTTAGTCTCTCTTGAGTGATGAATGAAGGGGGGGGGGGGGGGGGGGGGGCGGGGTGGAATATATCTTTTGGTGCATTCTTCGGGGATCAGGTTCCATGGCAGTAGACACTGCCTAACAACCTCAAGAGACAGTATCAAAAACTGGGCATCATTATGAAGAGGAAGCCGGTGATACAGATTGCACTTCCAACTGTTCTAAAGGAGAATCTACAGTATCGGCAAGCCTTAAATTGAATGGACCAGATCTTTAACCTCAGTACAGAGCCTTTGTGCCCTACAACTGTCTGAAGCAGCCTCCTGAGGATTCTTCATTTATTTAGACATTCACTTTAACTTGTCTGCTCAGTAGGATAAGGTCTTTGTAATGCTACATTAAGTAGTTAACAAACTCCCATGTTGATTTGTTAATTATTTAAAGAGCCTAGCTAAACTTTGTATGACCTTTATCCTAGTTAGCTATCCTGAAACCCTTTTTATTAAGGGCTCCCCACTCCCCAGCTCTCCTGGCCCCCCTCTGTGGAATTAGATACATTTTACAGTTTGCACTTTTTAAGTTTTCTCTTTGAGAAATGTGTGATGGCTACCAGGAAGAAAGATCCGCTGCTATTGTTGCATATTTTAGTATACTTTTCCTTTTCAGATAAGCACGAGTTCACTAGAGTAACTCAGGGGCTGCTGGAAATCTTGCCTAGAGACACGCTTGCTGCTTGCTGGCCTCGGGACCAAAGAGCCAAAAGATATAAGACTACCGTTGTCCCTTAATCCTGATTCCACACCAAGCAAAATTTGGTTGGTCTGAATAATCCAGCCTAATAAATTTGTAACACTGAGGCAAGTAACATGGCTAGACTGTAAAATGAAGATCAGTTGCCTAAGGGGAAAACCATAAGAATGTAACTTTCTCAAAAACTGGACACACAACAAATCCTGTAATTCCCAAATTATGGCTAAATTTAAACAAAGATCTCGCTGAGCATGGAAATGCATGTTTAAGGTCACCTGACCAACTTTAATGACACTCCTGTACCTTGCCAGAGTTCCTTCCTAAACCATTGCTGCCCTTTGCTTTTAGGCAGCATGACGAAGAAAGTTTTGATAAACAGTCTGAAGAAACTTGCAGCTTGTGACTACAGTCAGCTTAAATCCACTTTTATTTGCATAGTTTGCCTGTGAAGTCAAGGTACTCTGGAGGTTATGGTTTTGGTTTTGTACAGATGTGCCCCTGTTGAATAGACTGCCTAAGCTTTGGTCTGACCCTTGAGATGTTCTGAGACCTTGATCAAATAACTAATGCAAATCTCATGGAAGTCAATGACTTCTTTATTGGATTTGGGTCAGGCCCTCAGTGTCTATAAGATGTTTCAAAATACACAAATACATTTGCATTTGAGACCAATTTCATCATTTTTTCCCTTGGGTAGGGTGGTAATATTGTATATATACCAATATGGTAACCTCTGATAAACAGAGAAAGGTAGTTAGTTGTGGTGTTTGAAGTCAGGCAGAAGGCAGGGTAGATTTGCACCTTGTAGACTAACTAAGTCAGATGTAAAGCTTGAGCTTCTGTGAGCCCAAGCTCACTTCATGAGATGCTTCATTTGCTGATCAGACATCTGATTTAGTCAGTCTGTAAGGTGCAAATATACCCTGCTTTCTGCCTAATTTCTGATGAAGCCATGGAAACACCGACCTTTTTCCAATGTCAGAATCTAGTCTTAAAGTTTAAGACACAGGTAGTTTGCTGAAATAATATAAAAACAGGGGCCCTTTGATGTGCGTATTGTGTAGTAATTTACACAGAAACTATCAAGTAGAATTAGATCGCAACTCAGTTTTCAGAGCAAATGATGAGATGAAGATATGCCTTCTGGCCTTGATTCAGAAATGCACTTGGACTCCTGCATAAGCTCATCCCTGTTCAGCATGTAAGCATGTGCAGAAGTCCTGCTGACTTCAAGACTCATAGTAGAGATGATATTTTTGTATTAAACCAACAAGATTTGTGCAAAAAAAAATTATTTAATTGATATCATATCTACGAGTCCTGACTGCCTTTTCTTCTAGACCAATACGGCTATAACCCGGATACTGACTTCAGTGTTTTTTCTTTAAGACTAACCGTAATTTTTAACTACCCAGTCTTAGGATTCCCAGTTCTTACCCTTCCTTATACAGTAAATAGATATTTACAACCTCAGTGCCAGCTTAATTAAGCTTTTTTCCTAGGGAATTCTTCTAAAAAAATAGTTAAAAATGACCTGGTGATAGGAGCTTGTAGACCATACAAAGACAGCCCAGACTACTACCTCACGGGCTTTCTTATGCCAACCTACTTCTCAGTTATGGTGAGCCAAAATAAGAGAAAGAAAAGAAAATATTGAAAGTGAGCTCACCTCTCTATTTCCCTGCTCCTTTGCCAATGTGCCTTAAACAGAACAGAAAAATTCAACCCTGGCATAAGATTGTGCCTATGGAATGTCGGTAAAATGATTAGTATAAGTTCAGCAAGATTGTGCAAATCAGGATTTTAATGAAAGAATATCCTGAACTTTAACTTTGGGACTAATAGCTCTCTGTGAGAAGGCAGGCACTTTACCCACTCAGCTACAGAGACTTTGATTGAAGCAGTTCTACTGTCTCCAGCCACCAAGGGATGAATTATCATTTATGCATATAGTATGCACAATATATTAAAGGAACACTTTTAAGTTTGCAAATGCCAGGATTAAGATTCCCCGGGCAACCTGAATTTGTCCACTTTGTGCATATGCATTGGTACAGTATTTAATAACATGGCCATGCTCCAGTCTGTCCACAGGACACCTGTCTCACTTGCTGTAAAAAAATGGATGGTGCTCAGTCAAGATTACTCAGTTTTCTCCTCACTCTTCAATGTGTGGGCTTCATGAGCAATTTACTTCCCAATGTTCAAACACTTCCCTTGAAGACAGAATTATTAAATTCCTCAGCAGCTTTTCTGTGGTGCTCATGACAATAGTATCTGAGTACATTAAAATGCATATGTTTATTTTCATAAGGCCCCTATGAAATGGGGGGAAGCAGATATTATTCTTATTTTACAAACAGGGAAATGAGGCTCAGAGAGCTTAAGTCAAATAGCTATCCAGTAATTTGGGGGTTTTCCAATTGGAGATACTTATGACCTGATTTTTCAGACCGAATGATTACACAGCACTTAATATGTTCAAAGCATAACTCCCACTGACTCGTTACAGCTGTGAGTGCTCAGCACTTTGCAAGTCAGGCTGCAGGGTCTCAAGTCAGGCATCCAGGAAATTAGTTAAATACAGTGACTACCTGTGAAAAGCTTTTGATTTAACTGGTTTTCCAAGAAGATGAATGGAATCTAGTGCAAACTAACTACGGTCCTTTGAATATAGTCTTTTTTTTTTGTAGTTTCTGAGTCTCTTATTAAAGCTACAGTCCTTCCTCCTCACCAGAAAGTCCATCTTATGACATCATGTTAACACCCATATGGCTCATCCATAGGTTCAGGACCCCAAGCTCAGCTGTACAAGCCTGTGCCACTTGAGCTAACAGAGTACCTGATAGAGATGGTGGTTTGTAGTTCTTTATGTGGTCTAGCACTAGGGGGATGAAATGCTTTACCAGAAGGTTTCACAGCTATCTGCTGACAGCAGAGGAATGATGAGAGTTAGGAATCGTGGGTCCATTCCAGGCTTTGGATGGGTGTAGCAATGGGCACAGACTCTTCAGGCCATTTTTCTCAAGCCTGACCTCTTCTGCTGCATCCCTTCCAAGTTATCTCTATTCCAATCCTGCCTTCTCATCTCCCCTGGTCAGCCGTCATTCCCTCCTAGGGATTCACAGAATTCTTGGTCAGCTGGTCTTAGTTTTCCCCTCCTGCGTCTTTGTCTGGTCTGGTTCTTGCCTTTCTCACTAGCCTGTAATCACCTCTACAGTCCCATTTGATGCCTTCATTAACTCCCATTTCCAAGTCTACATCCAGTCGCAGTGTCATGCCCACACCTGGTTCCTCGTTCCAGCCTCTCTGCTCAGCTCAGCAAGCCACAGTTGTGCTGTGCATCTTGGCTACTCATTATCTCTGTCCTCCTTCTGCCTGCCCCTCTAGTTCCCAGTCCTAGTTTCTTTACCTAGCCAGTCCAAATGTCCTCCATATTGAAATATGACACGAGTCTTTTCTCTACCCACTGGCTCCCAGCCCTAATTTGCTTAGCCAATCATCCCCAATCATATCCAGCAATCCCAGATGGATCTCTCATCCCATGTCCTTTCCCAACCAGTCTGTCTTTCTTTTCAGCTCCCAGTCCTAGCATTTCTCTTTCCATCCACTAGTCTTTCTTCACCCTCTATGCTCCTGTTTTCCTCCCAAATCAACATCAAATCCTGTTTTTGTTCCCTATATTTGATTCAGCTAGCTTCCTGCTCCATTCTGCCTGGCAAGGAGTGAGAGCAAAGGAAAGACAGGGTTTGTGCTTGGGGTATTAAAAGCATAGGGAAGATGGGTTTCATATTAAAATTTGGCATGGACCAGAACAGCCAGGAACTGGAATTTCAGAACCTGGAAACCCTGGACTAAGACATGCCCAGTGTGAATCAAATCTCTGCAGACTGAAGACCTGGCAGTTCTTTACTGTACATGCAGAAACTGTGTTTGTTTCCAAAAGCTTGTAACTTGGTCAATTATGATCAGATTCGTATGAGAAATTTAAAAGGAAATTCCCAGATGCAAGGATCACCTGCCACCCAAATTGCAACACCTTAGCATTGAATACTAGAGGGTCTCAAAAAACTAAAACAACTTCCATCCCCTCCCAAGCCCCTCATAACACCAAAAAGATTCCCAGTGCCATACCTAGACTCCTGGCAGCCCCGCATGAACTTTTAGTATTGGGCCCTCCTTTGCCAGAGATAATGATAGTAATAATCAGACAATGGAAAAAAAATTACCATTTTGTGCCCCCTTTCTGTCTGGGCCCTGGGCAGCTGCCCAGTTCGCCCATGCCTGTGTCCAGGTTTGAAGATTCCCAAATCAAAACCATCATATTTATCCTAGTGGCATTCTCAGAAACAGCTGAACTGTGCTTTTGCTGAAATAAAAAAAAAAAATAGCTTGAGCTAAGCACCAGACATGGAAAAATTCAGCCCAAGCAGTTAACTTTGACAAAGTTATAAGCAACTGAAAATGCAGAAGTGTCAGGCATCCTTAATAGTAGGCATTACTACAGACTCCACCTATAATTTAAAACCCTATGTTTAACATAAATTAATCCAGTTCCTTGCTGGTACTCCTTCTGGCATATTACTGTTATTATGTGAGTGTTGTTATGGATAAAACTGAGCAATCCTAGGCTTTTGAGGAGGTAATTACTCTTATGTGTAGAAATAATCCAGTATATTTTGCCGCCAAATTGTCTTTTCTTGTTGGAGGACAAAGCTCCATTTTTCTTACCTCGATACTTAACACAATATATAAACTGAATAAAACAAGTTTCTTGCACATCTTGACCTAGAAATATTTGTATAAACATACTGAACTCTATGGATTATTTGTGCTTTGTAAAAATCCCAAATTTCTGATCACGGAGCTAAGTGTCTACACACATTTTGTTGGTATTTCAAGATTTTCCAGTCTTTTTGATGCACAAAACATCACTTCAAATAAGTAGGTAGACAAAGTGACATTTCATCCAGGACTAATCTCGCTATAATATGATGGTTGATGGGAGCGGTTTGATTGACTGTATTGTAATGAATCAAGGTAAGTCTCAAACTATCTTCAAGCCATTGCTCAATTCCACTGAACTGGGATGCTCCTTTCTTGTTAAAAATATATGTGCACACATTGTTTCCATAGTAAAATGTTTTTAACTAGTTCTAAAGCAGCTTGTGGTGAAATCACACAGATGGGGGATGTACACAAGCTAGCTGTGTTTCATGTCTTATAATGCCTCAGGGGTACGGTTATCTCATGATTACCACACCACCTCTTGAGCCTCAGTACTACATAATTTATACACTGAAAGAGACAATTCAATTAGCCAATAATAAAATTAGAAACAAGGATAGAATATATAATATACCAAAGGACAAAGTTCTGACGCTGTTATTGAGAAGGGACAAACTTGAATGGAAAAATGTAAATGCTTGTTTCATACAACTAGTCAAGGAGGAAAGTGTTTCCAGATCTTATTTTGTCCCTCCTAACAATAGAAGATTCATCAGTCAGAATAAAACTGCCTGGCCAGGGCACAGTACTCATATGATTTTGATTTGAATGGCAATTGCTCTATGAAGCGAGTTACCCCCAAAAAGGACAGAACTGCAAGTCACTCGGTGGTTTCAGGGAACACACAGTCTTTTCTTTCCCCCGTCTTCTGCATTCACAAATCTCTTAGAGCTGTTTATGTTTTGGTTACTTGAGAAACACGATTCCCAGGCCAGTCAAGAGCCAACGTGGAAGAGGAGGGAGACCTCCAGCCTCAAAGAAACAAGTTCCTACAAGTTAATATTTGGAGGGGTTTCTTTCAGGACGGTCTTCACAAACAACGACTGCGTTTCTTTTCATCTTCTCAGGAACCTGCAGTGTCGTTATTCTTGAGTTTGTAGGTAACCCTCTTCATAAGCAACCCTGCCCAGCCCGGCAGCTTTCCCTGTGCTATTCTGGAGGGACCAGAAAACAGAGCTGCAGATAGGGGAGGGAGCGGAAAGCAGAGCCGCAGAGGGGTCAGGGATTAGAAAGCGGAGCTGTGGATGAGATGTACAAGCAGTCCTTGACTTACGATGTTTTGCACTTACATTTCTAACTTGACACCCTCTTTCAACTTTCTGACCTCAGTTTTGACTTTACAACGTTTGATCCGATGCGACGCCACGTCAGTGAACAAGTTCACTGCGTCACCCATCTCCCTGGAGAACATCTGTCCAAACTTCCTTGCACACTTTCTTTAAGAAAGCAGACAAGACTTCAGAAAAACCTGCCGCCAGGACTCCTGAGAAGACTCTAGCCAAGAGCCCTTCAAAAAGTCCAGCAAAGTCACCTCGAAGTCGTCCTTCAGATCAACGAGATTGCTATTTACAATATAAATACCTTAATGTAGCTATATGACTCATCTATAATTGATCAAGGACAAAATTCTGGGGTATTTTTGGTGAAAATAGGGTATTGGGCCTCGGTTCAGGAACCAATCCCCCATTTATAACATGGGTTGCTGTGGGAAAATTGGTCCCGAGTTGCAACCCTTCTCAGGAGCCAATAGTGTCGTAAGCCCGAGGACTGCCCGTATCTGGCAGCCGCGTTGGTCTGTCTGAGGCAAAAAAAGCAATGCGAGGATCTAGACCGGGCGGTTCAGAAACGAGACCTTCTTTAGACCCCCTGAGACACTGCAACAACAACAAATCTTTTTTATAAGGTCGCACAAAAAGATTTGTGTGGGGTTTTTTTTGTTGTTGCAGTGCCTCACCTGGTCTAATAAAAGGTCTCGCTTCTAACCCGCGAGCTCCAGGTGGTCGCGTTTGGAGCGGGGCAGGGGCAGAGCGCCGCACGCGAGACGGCGCGGTGCGGTGCGGTGCGAGAAGGCGACTCCCGCGCGGCGGCGGCTCCGGGCCGGGTTTTCCCGCGTGCCGGGGGTGGGGGGGGCGGTGCC